AAACATGATTAGATGCATTCTGACAATGATTCTTCGTGCTTTCAGAATTGGCATCACCAGCAATGCTTTTCAACCAAGCCATTCTCACTCGCCATCCTTTTGGCATGTTGATTTCGGAGCTGGGTTTTAATGTAACCTTTCGCAATGCTCCATATCATTTCAATCGGACTCAACGCTGATCAATGATCTTTGCAACCATTACAGACACAAATCAGAGTTGTGTGTGCATTCGCAGCACCTATGATGTACAGATTTCTTCCTTCTGAACTGATGTTCGACACCGTTGACTTCTTGGTGAGCACCCAAAATTTCTTGAAAAATGTAGATTGAAGTTGATTCTATCAATCCCTATAATCTCATGTCTAAGAGCCTCGTACCATTGTTAGTGTTGAACATATCTGGGAAGAAATGGCTCAAGAACACGTCGTTAGATTACATTTCCTCTTCTCTTCATTATACAATAAGTTCATTGTTTCCGGTATTTGATGAACATTTTTTGATGGGACTTTAAGGAGGACTTTAAAGGAGCCTTTGAATAAGTTTATCGTGAAGCTCAGGTGGATTCCCTTCTTCGAAAAGGAATGCCCCAGAAGTAAGCTAACTTATTGAGGTCGCTATACTTACCTCAGGTCGAGTGACGGACTACAACGAATTGAGTAGGCGGTTCGTCACCAGCAGCGGCGTTCGTCAAGGGTACCCTAGTTCGCGGTTCCTGTTCAATTTTTCGTAGACNCGATTATCGGTGTTTACGAAGTTTAGCCCAAGCAGGATTGAGCGAACGAGTATTATGGAGGTAAGCCGTCATGTGTTTGGGTGTTTATCAGGTATAAACCTGCTAGCTCATCGAATTCAGACTGGTAGGCTTCGCTGGCTAGATCACGTATTGCGTATGCCCATCTGTCGTCAGCCATACCGTGCTTTATTCGTTTAGTGAATGAGTGTGTGTGCAAAATGTTCAGTGGACAACAAGCTATCAGATCAGGCTAAATGGATAGGGTAAAGCCAGGTAACATGTGTGAACAGGACACGATATGAGAAACGTTAGACAAGAATGAACAAAAATGTGTGAAAATGTGAGAAGAGAGTAAATGAGGATATTGGGAGAATGTAAAAGGTGTCACATGGAGCAATCACTCTTATGGCTGTGGTAATAGCAAAGTTTCCACTCTGTTCTAACTGATTTGACACAACACCTAATAATCTGTTTATGTCATACTCGGTGATTCGCTAGGCTGGAAATACATTATTGAGAAAAAATTCAGCTGTCATTGATTTGCCCTTGTATTCGATTAAACCGTGTCAGTGGGTGATCACAACTCACAGGTCAAATTACATACTTCCTGAATCGTCTGTATATCTGGTGCGGAAAGCCGACCGCTTTGTTTCGACCTTTCGTTTTCCGTTAAAAACAACCCATAGTTATTAATCAGCCAAGGAATGACAGAGAAAAATATGATTTCTGTTAGCTAATGGATAAGTTGGAATTTGATCTTAATACTCAGGTGAAATACTCTTAATTCTTTTACCATTGTTACCATTATTAGGTATTTTGTCGACTGTGCATTTCAATCTCGGAAATATGTGAGCAATAGCATTTGATTCAAAGGAATCGGTTTTACTCAAGAGAAACTCGGCCTCAACGGAATTTACTCATTGGGTTATTGAGGGCTTAGACTGACTCCGCTCATGCAATGAATCATGCTCATATCCATATTTCATGTGAGTAGTAGAGGATTTGGTTAAATTTCAAATGGGAATTCGTCATGTAAATAGCAAATGAAGCGTGAACTGAGAATCTCGGAAGCACTGGACAGCTGTTTCGACCTAGTTAGGTCTCATCAGCAGTGCGAATCCATCGACCCGACTGGGGATCGAACCCGGGAATTCATGGGCAGAACGCAAGCGTGCTACCCACTACGNCAGGTCGAAACAGCTGTCCAGTGCTTCCGAGATTCTCAGTTCACGCTTCATTTGCTATATACACGACGAATTCCCATTTGAAATATCCATATTTGTCTGGGTATGGTGACCGACTTATCGATCCATCTTGACGTGATTCGCTTCCTTACCCGACCGACGGAGGTCAATTAACTCCGGGTTCGTTCATTCGTATTTATGACGCGCACCCGATCAACGACCGCGAACATAACGTCCCCGAGTGGAATGCCTGTGTGGGAGGGGTGGGGGGGGCGGGGGGAGAACGGTCCACTTCATCCCACCGAAACTTTCATTCTCGCTCGGTGACTCACTCAAAAGTACTTTTGTTTGTTTACGGACTGGACGGTCCAATAGGTGACATTTGAAGCCGAAAAATCAATCATGTTGTGGGGTTTCTAACGGAGTGCGATTGGTTGGATTCACTTGAAGTTGAAAAGGCAACATTGCGATCAACCCAAAAGCATCGTCGATCAACAGATTACGAGCAGGTGACCAATGTCACCACAATATACTAACAGCAGATTATCCAGTATGACCCCTTCAGCCTTTGATTCGATGTTTTAACACTTACTCCAATGGATCGATTGTGAACGATTGTTTGATATGACTAACCATTTTCGGAACACGGTTTTAAAAATGATACCTGTGTTTTAGACGATTTTTTTTCAAGATAACTTTGCGAAGGTGCAGAAGGCTTGAATTGACTTGAATTTACAGTCAAGTGTTAGCAAGTGTTAGCTTCCCGAGTATCACGTAACTTCCTGTGTGAAATTTGCCGAGAGGATTCTCACAGATTCTGACCACCCATTGCATGCAGAACTGACACTGTCATTCCCATCATTCAACACACTCCCAATTCCGTCAAATTTCATCTCGAATTAATGCATACCGCAATTCACCCATACCGTATCTTGCTCGTCTACTCACAAACAAAGAGCGAACAATAAGCGAACTTTGTCTTAACCTTGGATTATGAATGTCCCCATGCCTGCGAAAAGTTTTCTCTCCGTTGATTATGTACATTGTGACGGTTAGCGTGTATGATTTTTTAATTAAAATGTGAGCTCCAGTGCTTGCAAAAGTTATACACAATACAATACAATAAAATGTCATTATTGAATAAACTTTTTCCATAACTGATTCTCCGGTGGGGATTCACTACTAACTACTACTACTCATTACACTCGCAACCTTACTCTTCATGAATTCTTTATTTTCACTCTGACACTGTGCGGCTCCAAAAATAACATGATCGATCGGTCGGATGATTCAGTTGCAAAAAGGGATGTGACGCTCACCCAGCTAATCAGAGCGAGAACCCATACCTTGTCCACGAGTCTTTAGTATGCCCAATGAATCTGGACTGCGCACAGTAGGAGTGCCATCATCACGCGGATGGATTGTAGGCGACAACAAAAGCATTACAAACATTACGAATCCGTGATCAGACGATCTCGTGTCCGCTGGAGGGATTCCAAGTTGTGCAAATCGCGGAAAATGATCCAAACAGATCGAATGAACGCTTAGGGGGAATTCAAGTATCTCAGGTACCGGGTGAGAGGAATAAGGCGATACGAAGAGATGGAACAATCGCACTGTGGTTCCCAAAAAAGCTCTATTCCATTTTGTCAAACAGCTGAGACTGTAGATGCATATACCTACAGCATTTTCCCATAAAATTTCAATTTTTGATTAATGATAGTTGACGATGATTGTGCATTTTGCAAATTTGCCAAACAAAATGTGAAGAAGTGATAGGCAATCAAAAATAAAGCGTCTACTATTACTTTCATCGGGAAGAAATTTCATCAGTGGATTAATGGACATTGTATCTCTCTCTGGTAACTGATTACAGACCGCTGATAGCTATTTTCGGTTATAAATAAAGGTTTCACACCGTCTAAAGCAAACTGTATGCAAAGTTGAACAACAAAAACCTATAAACCAAACACAGACAGGCTGGTGCTCTATCCAAAGTTATAGGACATGATTAGTTGAATGATGACGGTAGGGTGACAGCATCAATCACAATGGAATCGGAAATTGTCCGTACCCAAGCAAAGAAAATAGACAATCGATAAGCTACGAAGCAATCCACTATAATCCGCGAAGTTGATGTCGAAACCTGCGATCAAAGTAAAAATCCACAGACACACCAATTAGGTTGCATTACTGACGAAACGCATTCAGTTTAGTAAACATGAGCCTTAAAATTGACGACCGTGTGATAGTTCCGATACAACATGCTTATTGGAGTTATCCAGGGATCGCTGTTCGGAGTGCTTAGGTTTTTAATCTCCCATACAGAACTAGGAGTTTTGGGTCTGCTTCAAGAAAACAGCCAGAAAACCTATAGACTACCGAGCACACAACCAGGTCGCGGATAAGAGAACAGCTATCTGGTTGGCTAACCAAGACGATAGATCGGCGTCTTGGAAGCTTGGGAATATAACACAAAGTAGTTATTTCAGTATTAATTGGCCTCTTTCGAGGTTGCACTTTTAGCTCTACCTGCGTTCTACCAGTAGGCCAATCACAATCCAAATAAGAGGAACACAATAAAGACAATTAGGATAGGCATTTATAATTCCGGTCCTAGAATGTGAGGTGGGTTAGTAGGAAGAGTAGAGAGACAGAAAATCGCATCCTCGTTTACACGAACACACCCCTGTGTTCGACAAATTCCTTCAATCAGCATGTCGGAAACGATGAAAGTGATGTAACCATTCGTTGTACGATCAATGACGAACACAGGATGGGCGGACAGCTACATGAAAAATAAACCATAGGACGAGGCACAAGCAGCCCCAATTTACATTCTTAAATGCAATCCGTCACATAGTGATGTCTGCCATCAAATCTGGATTCCGAGCAAAAATCATGATAAACACTATGCCACTGAGGACTTAGCTTCGTTATTTACGAATATATGCATATAATTTTGTTCGGTTGCTGAAACACAAACACGTACGATGTCGAAATGGGCCGTAATAAACTGCCTAGAAGCCACCTGTATTCGCATTGCACAACAGTCCAGGTAACGGAAACGGGGTAAAACTCACTCGTTGTATCACACTGCGTCGAAAGCGCATCAAATCCTTCTCGGTCACCGCGGACTCACCCAAATTATCTCGAATATTTTGAACAGCCAATAGGATATACTCCTGTCGCCAGATTGAGCACATGACCGAATAAGCGGTGGATATAATAGAGTGGGGAAACAGACAAGACGGGTCAACAGCCAAGGAGAAAGAGCTAGCGAAAACATATGATTGATCTAATCATTTCGCACAATAAAAACAAAAATTCTGAGTGAATTCAAACAAATTACAGATACTTCTAAAGCGTTGACGTCCGTATTTCCCAGCGTTCAAATAAGCTGGCAAAACAAATAGCATGGAATACCAGAGAACGGATTGCACAATGAACAACAGTCGTAGTACAGGCAGTAAAAGT